AATTTAAGCATGAATGACAGTTCAGAGGATTCTCTTTCAAGTGTGGTCTTAAAAGGTCTTTGAAGCAGGATGCAGGTAATCAAGTCGTTGAGACAATGTCCTTTCTGGTTGAAATGGCAAGAAACTGTTTTTTCTTTGTGATCCTGTCTAATGTCTGTTTAGTGGGCATTGGTCCTTTGGCGAAGAACCCCGGGTTCTCTGTGAGAGTGGCGGAGGGTAGAAGCTATCTCCGGGGGGGTCCAGTAGCGGGGACAGGTGCACCCCTACAATAGCGACTGGGCGTTACTGGTGGAGACGGGGACACCCGCAGAGTGAGGCAGATCTTGCCGCCAGTGTTCCCTTTAATATTTTTAATCCGTGTGGGGAATAAATTTTGTTATGTGCACACAGGCATGTGCGGATGTGCACCACCCGTATAAACAAAAACCCGGCTGTGGGGGCTCTGCTAGTCCTCTGGACGGCATTGCAATCTCTCCTGAGCGGCCGCACAAGCCCAGGGCTTACAGGGCAGGAGCAGCTACCTTTCAGCCCTGGCACTGGCATTGCTCTTCATGCTGCTTCAGGCATGTCACCTAAGCACTCCGTGCCAGATCCCCAGCTGAAATCAATGCACACTGCATAGCCATGCAAGTCGCACCACTGGAGTGGCTGCCTTTTTTGGGTGTTGGGCTACTGAGCAACCAGGGATTTCAACCCACCTGGGTTGATGTAACACTAGTGGGTCCTCTGGGCACAATACCCCCAAAGCCACCTTTTCTCTGACACAGAATCAAGTGTCCTCCCATCTAGCAGTGTGTTTCCTTTGGAGGTCCACGCCCAGAGGGTCTAACAGTGATGGGGCCCCAGCCTCCTCTGCCCCCCGACAGAGCCAAGCAGGAAACTCACCAATAAGATAAAGGACTATTAGAATCATAAACAATTCTTCCAAGAGAAGAGAAACTGCGGGGAGATGGAAAAGCAGAGACTCAGAGAGTTGAGAAGTAACAGATTCTTAGTGGGGGCTTGCAGGCCAAAAGAGAGAACATAAGAACAGTCAGACTGGGTCAGACTAGGTCCATCTAGCCCAGTGTCCTGTCTTCCGACAGTGGCCAATGCCAGGGAGCCCCAGAGGGAGTGAACAGAACAGGGACTCATGAAGTGAGCCCTCCTCTGTCATCCATTCCCAGCCTCTGACAAACAGATTCCATCCCTACCCAGCCTGGCTAATAAGTATTGATGAACCAAACCTCCATGAATTGATCTAGTTCTTTTTTGAACCTTATTAAAGTCCTGATCTTCCCAACATCCTCTGGCAAGGAGTTCCACCGGTTGACTGTGCACTGCATGAAGAAAAACTTTCTGTGGTTTGTTTTAAACTTGCAACAGTCGGGAATGCAGCCCAAAGTGGGCGGCAAACTCCATCGAAAGCTAAATACCAGCATGAACCCGAGTGTTCAAGAGGGCGTGAAACCATTATTAGCGAGAATGGAGCCTACTCACCCCAACCCAGGCAAACCACGGGAACAGCATCCTGAATTCACTCAGCTCGGACCTAGCCCTAGGAGAGCCACACCTTTGTGTGCTCCTGAGCACATGCAAGGAAGAGGCAACCAATCCCACTGTTTGTGCTCAGATAATCCGGTACCTTAGGGGCTTGGGTAAGGTCTGAACTTCAACTTCCATCTCCAGCAGCGCCCGCTCTGAACGCCGCTCGGCGCGCCGTAGCTCCAGGTGAGAGAGTGTGAGATGAAGGAGGCTGGCGCTCCCATCTGCCTTTCCAGCAAGCAGGGCTTGTTATTAATTGTTTGTTATTAATTAGTGCCTTAGGTGAGCTGGCTTCTTTGGCACCAGGCTGTCTGGGGGGAAGAGGGATATTGCTGCCGACTGG